TTTTAACCACATGGCAAAACATAGATAGAAATATGGGTTAATTTAAATGTAAGAGTTAGCTAGTAATGAGCCTGAGCTATTGTTCAATCATTAGTTATTAATATAAGCCTCTGGATGATTATTTGGAAAAGGCTATGGGGTAGCACAGGACAGAGAAACCTCTGTTTATAGCCATCTCTTCCTAAAATGCTCTTAGAAGTAGTAGTTGCTATGTTTAGTAAAACTCTTAGCTACTGAGATTCAACATACATTCATGCTCTAAATTAAGGCCAAGCACTTAAGGTACTGAAGATTTCATCAGCTATACTATTTTGTTATATATCGGATATCAATTCAGTCTCAAGCAGCCCTTTCACAAATTTTCTTGATTTCTCTAATCAGGAGAGAGCAAGAAATATAGAAAAATAATATTATTCCATCATTTTATAATCCTCTAATTATTTGCTTAAAAATAACAAATAAATGCAGACTAAACACCCAGATTTTTAAATAAATATCTACATACAGGTTCATATAAATAGATAAAGATGTAGCTAGGTATCCATTAAGATTCTACACCTTCATTTGTACATGTATATATAAGCATTTGTGTAAGATATATATATATATATATATATATATATATATACACACACACACATACATATATATGTATACACACATATTATCTCACTTTCAAAAATACAGCTAATATTTTAAATGCTGAGGAAGCACTTGGTGGTAACTTTTCTTTGGTCATATATAAATAATATTGTACAATAAGAAGATGAAAATATCAAAATTGAATTCAGGTAATTGGAGTTGATTATTAAGGAAAACATGATAAATACTTAGCTTAGAGCTTAGAAGAATTTTATCTAGATTGTTATTCCAAGTTAACTGATTTTTACAGTTTCAATAATGAATTTAGGTAGTTCTTAAATATAGAGATAGATACAAATCCCAGGTTCCCATTTCTGACCTTATTCTATGGCCACATGACAAGGCTAGTTCATTTTACCACACTTCTTTTTTTTTTTTTTTTTAAGGAGATAAAAAGTCTATCACTTTTTGTTAAGATTTAAGGATGAACACATTATTCTAGTAAGCATATATAAATATGGATTATTTTAATGGCACTGCAATATCAATATATACTGAAAACACTATCCTGAAGAGGCAGGCTGTGACAGGTTAGATAAATAATTGGTAAATGTAAAACTTCATAGAACAACATTTGATATCACAAACAATAAATTTATTTTCTCCATACTTGAAAACTTAGTTTTCTTCAGATAATAAAATTATGACTAAAAATACACAGCAGAAACATTCCTTATAAATACAATTCATTACCTAATAGAGCAAGCCCTTCTTTTACTGAAACTAGATTGTGCAATAAGCAGGGTACTAAGGTGGCTCAGAGGACATGAGCATCAAAACCAGGATGAAGACACATATGGCAAAAAAAAAAAAAAAAAAAAAAAAAAAGACTAAGTTACCATTTACTCTCCACAAGTACACAATGATACCTATGCATCCCCATGTCACATACACATATGCACACAAATTAAATAATTAAAAGTTGAATAAGTAAAGAAATCAAGAAACATCACCCTTTAAATAGCAACAAACAACATAAAATATCTTGAGGTAATACTAACCAAACGAGTGAAAGACCTATATAGCAAGAACTTTGTGTCTTTAAGGAAAGAAATTAAAGAAGATACCAGAAAATGGAAAAATCTCCCATGCTCTTGGATAGGTAGGATCAATATAGTAAAAAAATGGCAATCCTGTCCAAAGCAATCTACAGATTCAATGCAATCCTTATCAAAATCCCAGCACAATTCTTCACTAAAATTGAAAGCACAATACTCAACTTTATATGGAAAAAAAAAGACCAAGGATAGCAAAAAATGCCCTTTAAAATAAAGGAACTTCAGGGGGTATCACCATCCCTGGACTTCATACTCTACTCTAAAGCTATAGTCCTGAACACAGCTTGGTACTGACACAAAAATAGACAGGTAGATGAATGGAACCATATTGAAACCTGATATTAACCCACATACCTACAAACACCTGCTTTTTGACAAAACAGCTAAAGTTATGCATTAGAACAAAGAAAGCATCTCAACAAATGGTGCTTGCACACTGGATGAGGGTGTGTAGAAGACTGCAGATAGACCCACATCTAAAGCCATGCACAAAACTTAAGTCCCAATGGATCAAAAAACTCAACCTAAATCCAGCCACACTGAATGTCTTAGTAGACAAAGTGGGAGGTATCCTTGAACAAATTGGCACAGGAGACCACTTCCTGAACATAACACCAGTACCACAAACACTGAGGTCAACAATTAATAAATGGGACCTCCTGAAACTGAGAAGCAATGTAAAGCAAAGGACACAGTTGACAAGACCAAATGGCAGCCTACAGACTGGGAAAAGATCTTCACCAAACCCACATCTGACAGAGGACTGACCTCCAAAATATACAAAGAAATCGAGAAACTAGTCACCAAAACACCGACTAACCCTATTAAAAAGTGGGGTACAGAAGTGAATAGAAATTTCTCAATAGAGGAATTCAAAATGTCTGAAAGCCACATAAGAAAGTGCTCAACATCCTTAGCCATCAGGGAAATGCAAATCAAAACAACTCTGAGGTTCTATCTTACTCCTGTCAGAATGGCTAAAATTAGAAACACCAATGGCAGCTTATGCTGGAGATGATGTGGAAAAGAGGGAACACTCCTCCACTACTGGAGGGAATACAAACTTGTACAGCCATTTTGGAGATTAATATAGCAGTTCCTCAGAAAAATGGAATCATTCTACCACAGGACCCGGTAATTACACTCTTGGCATATACCGAAATGATCCACATCCTTGCAATAAAGGCATCTGTTCAACTGTGTTCATAGCTGCATTATTTGTAATAAAAGAATCTGGAAACAACCTAGATGCCCCTCAACTGCAGAATGGATAGAAAAGATGTGGTACATTTACACAATAGAATACTATTCAGCGGATAAAAACAATGAATCTTGAAATTTGCAAGCAAATGGATGGAACTTAAGAGGTCATCCTGAGTGAGGTAACCTAGTCACAAAAAGAGCAACATTGTATGGACTCACTCTTATATTGATTTTAGACATAGAGCAAAGGATCGCCAGCCTATAATTCAAACCCCTAGAGAAACTAGGATACAAGGAGGAACCTAAGAGATTCATACAAAGTCCCTAACAGAAGGGAAAAGAAACAAGTTCTTCTGAGCATATTGGGAGTGGGAGTGGGGAGCAGTGAGTGGAGAGGGAGTTAGTGTAAGGATGGAAAAATACAGCCTAACTCTCCACTGACCCCAGGAAGCTAGAAGCTTAAAAATACTAAATACCTTATGTTCCAGACCCCGCTCTCAGCCAGTAAGTAGGCAAATGATCACATTCTTTGCTGTCTACGACAGGGCCTGTGAGTACGTGAGAACAGGAAATGAGCTTTGTCACCCCACCCAGGAGCCAGCGCAAATGCCTACCCATGGGGCTATAGAAAACTGATTGGTCTACAAAGCACGGGCTTGTAGGGTTTAAATTGTTTCATCTGCACCACACGGGCTCTGGATGCTATGAGGTGATTGGTTTAAGATGTGCAGGCTTTGTTGTAACACTATAAAAGCCGTCTCAATCCTGTACTCAGGGTCCTCAGTCCTCTACCCATGTGTAGTCTATGACTGTGGACCCCAGTGCACTTGGAATATAAAAGACCTCATGCTTTTACATCAAGACTGATTCTTGTGAGTGACTTGGGGTGTCACCTTTCCAGAGTGGATGCATGAAGTTCCACGCTCTGTGGGTCTTTCATTAGGAGAAAGAGAAGGGTAGAAGAGGAGAACATGCGGGACCAGGAAGAATGAGTCAGGGGATGAACTGTCACTGGTTTCCAAAAAAAAAAAAAAAAAAAAAAAAAAAAAAAAGGAAGAAAACCATAATAGAGGGAGCCATTATAGATTTGAAGAAAAAACGGACTCTAGAAAACTGACTCTAGAGAAATTTCCAGAGACCTACAAGGATGACTCCAACTAACAATCTAGGCAACAGTGGAGATAATGAGATTGATAACTACCTTATATTCTATCATAGAGCCCTCAGATGGTAGCTGATGGAAATAGAAGCAGATACAGCTAAACACTGTGCTGAACTCCTGGGATTCAGTTGAAGAAAGGGAGGAGTGAGGAAGAAAGTGGTCAAGACCAGGCTTCAGAAACCTATAGACAGCTGACCTGAACAAGGGGAAGTTCATACAGGCCAGACTAATAGCTAGAAAACCAGCATTGGGCCAACTCAGACCCCCTGAACATGGGTCTCAATTAGAAGGCCTGGGCAGTCTATGGGACCTCTGCCAGTGGAACCAGGATGTATCCCTGATGCCCGAAAGGAATTTGGAAACATTCTCCATGGAGGGATACTTCTTAGCCTAGAGGCAGGAGGGAGGGCCCAGACTCTACTCCAAATGATTTGAAAGATTTTGATTATCCCTCTTCAAAGGCATCACCCTCCCTGTGGATTAGGGGGAGTTGGATGGAAGGGAGGGTCAGGGAGCATGGGAGGGTGGGATGGAGAGGGAACTGGGATCAAGAGGTAAAATAAGGGAAAAATATATATGTATTATGTATATTAAGTACATATGTATATAAATATATAATTCATTAAGTAAACATATTAAAACAAAACCTTGGACATAAAAGTTAGACAACTTAGTTTGTAATCATGTGAAGACAAATAAAAGACAAACTTAATTTCAGATTAAGGGCAAATACTAATACTAATTGTTTTCTTAAGGATATATATATGTATATATATATATAAATTCTGAGTCACTAGCTATGTTTGGGATGATTTTTCCTGTGCCACCCTCATTCCTACTTAGAAAAGCATTCTCCTGATTGATTCTCCTCTAAAACAAAGTAACAATGACATAAAAGAACATTTTCTCATTGTAAGTTCACATTTCATTCTCACCTTAGTAATGGCTTCATGGAGGTTGAAAGATGGATCAACTTCTTCCATTTTTGTTGCATGTTTAGGAAAAATGGCTTCAGAGAGAAAACTTGGACCCTGTGACAAATAGAAGAGAAAGCCTTCATTGATTTTTGTCTCTGAGTACTTTTACTGGATTCTCTTTAAAGATGTACAAATGTCTAGAATGCTTTAAGGTTTTTGTTGATTCTGAACTTCATCTGGCTGATCTATTATCCATCCCAGAATCTTTGTACATTAAGATGAGTAGAATTCTATTACTTTTAACATTTTATATACTCACAAAATAGTGTTTTCTCACCAAAAGATAACTTTTTAGAGTCCTCAAATATTTACACTATCTATAGTTTATATATACAAATATAAGGGAGATGTTTAGACTACAAAATCACTATTGAAATTCTCTTTCCTATTTCTAAATGTTGCGTGTTTATGGCTGGGAGACTAAAATGTTTCTGATGAACATGACTAGCCATAAAATAATAGAAAAATGGGCAGGTTATGGTATTTTAGATATAATGATGACATCATTAAAACAATAAGGTACAGATAGAAATCAAATGTCTTTATGCCTTTATGCCCAAAAGTAATTAAACCTACCTCAAAACTCAGTGTTTAATTGAATTAAATGAATTAAAAATAGTTCAAATACTTCATTTTTATTTCTAGTATAACCAAGGATTGGGATTCGGGATGATGTAGAATATTGACATTGTTTCTATCTACATCAGTGTTGTTGGAGTCATCAATATATAATTAACATTCTTTAAGTATTTTTTCTTAGTGTGTAAATAACATCTCAATTCAGGAACCTGAAGAAGAGTCAAGCCGGAAGCCTCCATGTGAACTTGGCATAAGCTAAAGTCATCTGAGAGGTGGGAACCACAAATAAGAAAATGCTTCCATAAGGGCATTATCTTAGTTAATGATTGATAGGGGATGACCCAGTCTGTTGTAGGTGGTGCTATCCCTGAGCATTTGGTCCTGTATTCTGTAAGAAAGCAGACTGAGGAAGCCATGAAGAGCAATCCACTAAGCAACATCCCTCCCTGGCCTCTGCATCTTCTTCCTCACTGCTTGGTTTTATGGAACTGTGAGAAAAATAATTCTTTCCCTCCCAAGTTGCTTTATGTCATGGTGTTTCATCACAGCAGTAGAAACCCTAACTAAGACAAGTTGGTTCTAGCATAATGGGATATTGTGACAGATCCAATCATGTAGTTTTGGGGAGAATTATAGGAAGACTTTGGAAATTTGGGCAAGAAAAGACTTTGAGTGTTCAGAATAATGATCTGTACTGTAGGAGCATAGTTTGGGTTTCAGAAAGATGTTTAAAAACTACCAGGGCCACTTGATTTTTGTTTGTTTGTTTGTTTGTTTTTTCAAATAAGATACTGTGGTTTTAGTTAGCTGGGCCTGAAGAATAAGCTGTGACTAAGAAAATACCAGAACTAATAAGGATAAACCTCTGCTTTGCTGGGATACTTGATGCTGGTTGGCTGAAGCTAAGAAATTAGGTGTGATTAAGAAGAAAGCAGCATCACTGTGGTGAAATTAGGGGAGTGTTTCCTGAAACCACACAGAAGCTATGTTTCAGAGGCAGCCAAGGTTGTACTTCACACTGGCAGCTGAACTTGGTAGTAGAAGAGTCATCAAGGTGACACTGATTTTGGAGGCATGAAGGCAGCTCAGGCTTGGAACTGTGAGAGGCCAGAAGAGGACATTGGTGAAGATACAGCCTCAGTAGCAGTTGAAGACCCAGGATTGAAGGAGTCATGAAGAAAAGTTGAGGCTTGGCACCATGAAAAGTATCCAGGATAGGCTCTTGGTGTTAGCGCAGGCCAGTTGAAGCAGAAGACTCCAGCATTTTACAAATGCCCTAACATGAGATGACCACCAAGGACAGCAGTAGCAATGGAGTGATGCGTGCCTGAACTTAGAGGAAAACTGAGTGTATACAGGGGATACAGTTGAAGATGTGACCCAAACATTTTGGAGGAGCATGAAGAGTTATGAGTTAATCCCTCAAACTGAACATTGCCTTATTTACACCTGGTTTGCCTTGATTTTATTGTGACTGTGTCCTTGTTCTTCCCTCTTAAAAGAAGAAAGTATTTAACCTAATTTTGATTTCTATGAGAGCACACATTTGAGAGATTTGTAACTTTTAAAAGTAAATTTGGATTTTTAAAGAGATTGAATATTTTAAAGATACTGAACTTCTAATGTGTTTAAATTAGTAGAGTGTAGGACTGTTAATTTTTATTTATGTTTTTAATGTGAGATTTGTTTTTTGTTTTTTGTTTTTTTGTTTGTTTGTTTTTCTGTGTGTTGATGCAGGGTCTTTCTGTGTAGCCATGGCTGTCCTGGAACAGGCTATGTAGACCAGACTGGCCTCAACAGTAGCTGGAAACTCAGCATGTTTGTTACATCTAGAATAGAGGTAAATCTGAATCTAAATTGATACAAGTACAATGATTCATTTATTTTATTTAGTATAAGTTGATAATTCATTTTTCTTCCTCTTTCCATTTCCTCATTCCTTCTCCTTTCTCCTTACTCATCTCTTTTCTTTCCCCAAATATTCATCTTTGTGCTTTCATGTCTCTCCAAAATGAAAGCCTGAAATACTTTGTCTCTATTTATTCCTTAATCTCTCCTTGCTCCTTCTTTCTTCTGCATTGCTTCCTTTCCCATTGTAATCCATGTCATCTCTCTCTCAATCTCTCTCCTCTCTCTCTCTCTCTCTCTCTCTCTCTCTCTCTCACACACACACACACACACACACACACAAAACACACACAAACACCATGTACCATGTATTTACAGAACCTAACATAAAATAAGGAAAAGATTACAAAAGCACTTTGTAAAACCTTCAATTCTGTTTATTATAGGTTATATTTATTTAATAATATTTTGTCACTGTAGGTGAAGGGAAGTGACTATGTTGTTAAAATTTGGAGATTCTATCAGGAAAGTTTCAGACACAGACTAGTGATCATCAGAATTTTTCTAATATCTGTAGAGGACTTCAGTTTTCTCTAGTATTCTATAATCATTTAATATGTAGCAGTATTTCTTTAGCTCTATTGTTTAAGTCCATGATTTGACTAACCTATTCTTCATGTGTGTAGGGCCCTGCATAGATGGACCCCTAACAAACCTTGAGCAAGCCTGAAGCTTTCCCTGGAGTTGTTATTGCTACTCTTCCTGTTTGGCTAACACACATCTGCTGAGGTGGAGCTAAGCCTGAAAACCCTGTTATTTTCCACTGTGCTGTAAGTCAGTATATAAGCCCACTCCATTCCCCCTCAATAAATGGCATTTGGCATTCAGCATTTGGCATTCCAACATTGGCGTTTAGCGAATGACCACCTGTCTTGTCTCCTATTTCAATCTCTTGGCCTTCGCCTGATTCATGGATCATAGTGCTGTCACTACATGTGGAAGTCCCACCGAGATTGGGATAAAAGGATCACCTAAGAGATCAGCCTCCAAGGCTGGATGGCAAAGTAAGTGAATGAGGGTGTATTGAAGAATGGGTGCCAGTAAATCTAAGGAAATTTTCAATGGGAAGTTAGTGGCCCTATTGAAAAGACAGGGCACCGGGATTAAAACACGACAGTTAAAGAATACATTGCCATATTAGAAAAACATAGTCCCTAGCTTCTGCACTCTGGAAGCTTCAATATCCCTGATTAGGAACAGGTAAAAAGCGATCTGCCAACATTTCCCTTTGGCATCTAGTTAAAGATGTGCTCCTGAACAACAATGTTAAAGTAAAAGAACAAATAGCAGAGATGAATAGGACTGTTGAGGAAATACAAAAGATAGACAAGTTCTCCTTCAGTTGGAAAATGCAATCCAACATCAACAAATATGCTGTATTGACCATACAGAACAATGGGAGGCTTATGTGCTTCACACAGCACTGTCCAACTTCTACCTTATGTTATGGTTTCACATATCTGTTTCCCCAGCCAAGTGTATGGAAAAATCAATGCATTCTGCCAGAAACTGTTTTAAGACCTCCTTATAGGAAAAAAGAAAGGTGACATAGATGAATTTATTGAGATTTGTTCAGATGTTAGATGCTCATAATTCAAGGGTTAACTATAACAGCTGTATTATAAGAGATTTCAGTTAAGGATGTTTTATTTCATCAAACTAATCTTGGCCTAGAGAAAAGGAAGGCTGAAAGAGATATATATATGTATGTTCTGTATGTATGGTGTGGCCACACAAACGTGTGTAGGAAGTATGATTATGAATGTGTGAATCCTAACAAAAGATACTATTTGAATTGCTTGGGATATAGAAAAAAAAAAAAACCAAAAAACAAAAACATCAGGTCAGTGTCTTAATTGGAGGGCTTGGCAATCTGTGTCTCCCACAGCTGGCCTCCAGAGCAGGTCAGTGGGAAGTAGCCAAAGCCAGCATGGTCTGAGAGCCAAAGGAATCTGTATGGATGATTGGATATCCTTTAGCAAAGAAGTGGGTACTGCTATGGCTTCAGAATGTAGCACTCAGCTTCTTAAATGGTCAGCTGATGAAGGACATAGAGGCCTTTTGTGTTATGAATTTTGTGTTAAGTCATATGCCTGTAAATCTTTGGAGGAAGAGATGTGCTTCAGGCCATGGGAGTGGCCCCTACTACTGAACCTGTTAAAAATATGCAAGCTGACCAAAGTTATGTCTAAGGAAGAGGACTGGGTTAGTTCCTCCAAGTTGACCCTCATTCTGTTGCATCCAAAAAGTTAATTATCAAAAGAGCCTGAGTTTGCTCTGGGTTGGGAAATTTTCCTTAGGAGCGATTACTGCAGCTCAGCCTGTTCCCATTCCTATCACCTGGAAAACTGATAACCCAGTCTGGGTGGAGCAATGGCCCTTATCTATTGAGAAATTACAGGCTGTACCATTTGCTGAACTAGTTGCAGTACAAATTAGCCCTTCAACATTATTATGATGAGACCTTTAACTTATACACTGATAGTAAACATGTGAATTTGTCCCCTTAGAAACTGTTGCCTATTTTATACAAGAACACTTACTAGCCATACAAAGCCTACTATGGA